GTCTGGATCTGGGTCTGGGTCTGGGTCAGGGTCTGGATCTGAGTCTGGGTCTGGGTCAGAGTCTGGATCTGAGTCTGGGTCTGGGTCTGGGTCTGGGTCAGAGTTAGGGTCAGACTCATATTCAGATCCAGATCCAGATCCAGATCCAGATCCAGATCCAGGTCCAGGTCCAGACTCAGCAGCAGCTCTGTCCTCAGAGGTTCATCGGTTTCTTTCTTTGTCAGAAACAGTGAAAGCCTATTGGCCGCTTTGACTGTAAAATACTGTTTGAATGTCAGGCGTGCTCCGATGTACAAGATGCAAATGCAGAATTTATCTGCTGTTTCCATAAAAGAAGGCCACGCAGCTATTTCTGTACCACTGAGAACTTACTGTGTGTTTCTGTGAGTTTCTTTGTGTTTACTGTTCTTTACTGTGTGTTTACTGTATTATATCTGTGTCTTTACTGTGTGTTTTGTTGTGTGTTGGCTGTGTTTTTACTGTATTATTTCTGTGTTTGCTGTGTGTTTACTGTTCTTTATTGTGTGTTTACTGTGTTATTTCTGTGTCTTTACTGTGGGCTGTTTTCAGTGTGCTCAGAACAGATATTCAGAATGTTTCTCCAGTGTGGTTATCTCTCTGTTCTCAGTAAAGGGAGCGGCTGTTGACATACCAAATGTGTTTGTCTGCACTCAGGAAACCGGTCGGGCAGAAACTCCCTCCCTCAGGGCTGGGAGCAGCCGTTTCTGAGAAGTCACATGACTCTCAGTAGCTTCCTGAAACGAGGTGGTAACACAGAGACTGCTGGTTTCAACACAAAACTGCTGGTTTGAACACAAAACATCAGTATTTATCTGATTTGAACACATACAGCTGTTTTTATCTGGTCTGAACACAGAAAAGCTGTTTCCAGTCTCTGTAAGGTGGGCGCTGAGCCTCACCCAGCAGGCAGAACTGCCCCCCCTGCTGGCAGAACTGCTCCTGTGGGCTGTGGGCAGCCGTTTCTCAGAAATCACGTGGTGGGTTCATGTAAG